AGAAACCTACCAACTACGAGGAGCCAACATCACAGCGGGCAGGAGCAGATTTGGAAATCACCAGAAAACCATATATCGACAGCAGCGAGTGGCGGCGAGGGCGCCCCGGGAGGCCCAACGAAAAGGGGAAGGCAAGGAACGGGCCGCGGTATCGGCACCTCGTCCTCCCCCGCGAGGGGGAGGAGGCGGTCTGACGCTCCGCCTCCTCCTACTCCTCCTCCTCCTCCTCCTCCTCCTCCTCCTCCTCCTCCTCCTCCTCCTCCTCCTCCTCCTCCTCCTCCTCCTCCTCCTGGCCCGAGAGCTCGCGGGGCGGGGGCCGCGTGCACCTTCATGGCGGCCATGAGAACCGCCGTGGAGCCGTCCTGGCGCGCCCGGTCCACGTCCGTGCCCGGGAGACCTGCGGGGCAGCGGCTCGGCGGCAGGGGCGCGCGCAGCACGAGGACCCAGGAAGCTCCCAGGAGGCCCCAAGAGTGCCCCCAGAGGCTCACAAGATGCCCCCCTCCTCCTCCCCTCCTCCTCTCCTCCTCCTCCTCCTCCCGCCTCCTCCTCCTCCTCCCGCCTCCTCCTCCTCCTCTTCCTCCTCCTCCTCCTCCTCCTCCTCTTCCTCCTCCTCCTCCTCCTCCCTCGCAAGGGCGACTAAAAAGGCTAATGAACCGGACTGAGGGGGGCACTGAAGGGCCAGAACAGCCCAGAGGCGGCCCAAGAGTCAGCCAGGTTAGGCCAGATGACACCGGCTGGAGCGGAATGAAACGGGACTGTGCTGGCTTGGGCCGGTTTTCGACCACGGGTGTCCCAGCGCCGATGCTGAATTGAACCTCCCGGCAGCTGCATCCTAATCACAGGGCGCCCCGCGGGGAAGGGAGCTGGCCTCACCCACCTCCTCCCGTTCCGCTGGCGTCTGGGCCTGCTCGCTCGCGCTCCAGGCAACCACGCGTGAGCCCTGCGCCTGCAGGTCTGGCTTCTGAAACGCCAGGTGGGGTTCAGGCTTCGAAGGGTGTCGGCGGCCAAGTGAACCCCGGCAGGTGTGGCCGATACCCCAGCGTCGATTGGACCCGCAGGGGTGGGGTCCGCAGTTGGTCGCAGAGCCCTCGCTGCTCGCTTGAAGTCCGCCACCTCGCGCCCCTCGCCAGCTCGTCTGCGTGCGCGGCTCTCACCCCCGCCCCGCCGCCGCCGCGGCGCTGGGGCGACGATGAGGCGCTGGTGCGCTGGCACGTGGCGAAGCGCAGAACTGCCAGGGGGGAGGAGGGTCCGCCCCCAGTCTGCTTGAGCATCGTCATGAACTCAGTTTCTGGCAAGACAGCTCCGTACACAGTTTGGCGCAGACGCGAGGGGCGGGATGGCAGCAGCGCTTCCCCAGCTCCGCAGCCATTTGCCCCAAAGGCACGTCAGAGGGCCGTGCCAGCAGCACACTGCGACCTGTACACCAGCGTTGGGTCTGGGAAATTACCCCAGTGCGACCCTACCTAGAAGTTGGAGCCCCTAGGAAAGCAGCATTAGTTGCTATGCTATGCTATGCTATGCCATGCCATGTTATGCTGCGTTATGTTATGCTATGCTATGCTATGCTGTGTTATGATATGCTGCGCGATGCTATGCTATGCTATGCTATGATATGCTATACTATGCTATGTCATGCTGCGCCATGCTGCACTGTGCTAAGCTATGAGATGCTATGCCATGCTATGCTAAGCTGCGCTATGCTATGATATGATATGTTATGTTATGATATGATATGGTATGATATGCTATGCTATGCTATGATATGCTGCGCTATGATACGCTATGTTATGATATGATTGGCTATGTTATGCTATGATATGCTATGGTAATGCAGCGTTGCGCTATGCTAAGCTAAGCTAAGCTACGCTAAGCTAAGCTAACCCTCCAGGCAGAGCCTAGGTAGGGAATTACAACCATGCTAATATGCGACGCTGCGCTATGCTATGCTACGCTATGTTATGCTATGTTATGCTGTGCTCTGCTATGCTAAAGCTCAGCGAAGCTAAGATGAAGGTAAGCTAAGCTAAGATAAACCTGAGCTAAGATGAAGATAAGCTAAGCTAAGTTAAGATGAAATAAGCTAAGCTAAGATGAGATAAGCAACGCTAAGCTAAGGGGACGTAACTGGGGGAACCGCGGGGCGGATGCCAGGGGAACCGCCCGGGCCGGTTCCCACTGCCCGGCCCCTTTGAGAAAGAGAATAAGAACCCTCTAGGCAGAGCCTGGGTAGGGAAAAAGTCTTCGCTGAGGTTTTCGGAAGCCTTTCTCCACACAATGCTTTCTCGAATGGATTCTTACTTGGTCTGTGAAAAGCACGGACATGCGTGGGATGTCTGGCCCTCGTCGGCCCCTGGGTTCTGGCCTCAGTTGCCCTTGCGTGGTGGCTCGCCTGACAGTTGCCCGTAGGGTTCCCGCCAGAAGGCCCGCACAGAAAATGTGCCCGCGTGATGGTTCTGTCCTGGTGGCTCTCCCAGTGGTTGCCCACAAGGCTCCTGGGTCC